ACACACACACACACACACACACACACACGAAAAACAGCACAAGACTTTACCAAAGCCCACTGGTTCTGATCTGTGCCAATTAAACTTCTCTCCTATATTTGCAGTTCTTAAACAAACTCCAGGGCCACATCTGCAAAATCAATACCCCGCTCTGCACTGGGAACATGAAATCGGCTTGGCCTTCACCAAGAACCGGATGAACTACACCAACAAATTCCTGGTGATCCCAGAGTCAGGAGACTATTTCATTTACTCCCAGATCACATTCCGAGGAATCACATCTAGGTGTGGTGATATCAGCCAAGGGAAACAACCAAACAGGCCAGACTCCATCGTCGTGGTTATCACCAAGGTAACAGACAACTACCCCGAGCCTGCCCATCTCCTCACAGGGACCAAGTCTGTGTGTGAAATAAGCAGCAACTGGTTTCAGCCCCTCTACCTTGGGGCTATGTTTTCCTTGGAAGAAGGGGACAGGCTGATGGTAAATGTCAGTGACATCTCCTTGGTGGATTACACAAAAGAAGATAAAACTTTCTTTGGAGCCTTCTTGCTATAAGGGGACAACAGCTGTAATCATGCAGGGCCTCCTTGCCTCCTGCTTTCCAATATTCTTTGCTCACGAAACTATAATCAGGGGTGTGGGGGATCAGGGATAGGGGACAGTGCTTTAGCTACATAATTTAGGAACCCAAAGTTGATCCTCTATATACCTTATGGACTGAAATGGTAAATGGAAAATTCAGAAGAGCTCATGTTTGGTAGAGACCTGCTGGGTTTTTGAAACACCCATCTCCAATGGCACAATCGACTGCTCTCAGGACATGATGTTTCTGAGGTGCCCTCCTTCCTGTTCAATGATCAACTAAGGATGCTTAGTCAGCGACTCCAGTCTGGCTCCATGGTCAGAAAAGGAGAATGAAATGTTCTGCCTGCCTCTATCTCCATGGTGCGTGAGAGCCTCGAGCAGCATGGACTTACTGGAAAGGACTTGAACAAAAGCAGCCAAAGTGACCTGCTCACCTCCTCCACTAAACCCAAGCTTTGTGTCAAGGGCCTTCAAAGCTGCCCATGGGGGATCTGGATGGCTTGAAAGTTTATCCAAGACAGGGATCTCCTGGTATCCTGAGGTGCTTGAGGCTCTGGAAAGGTCCCCACCACGTATTCATTTTGCCCCTGATTGTTGAAAACTGGAACTCAAATTTTCTGTTGATTTTGTTGAATATATATATATATATATATATATATATATATATATATATATACTCAAATCAGCACTTATGTTTCCAAGGTGCTGTTCCCACA